GAGGATGCATGAAGCTGTAGGAATGCAGGTGAAGGTGCAGTGACTCAGAAATCCGAGATGCCAGGAATACGGAATGTTGGATGAGGAAAGCCACAGGCAGTGAGCAGAGCCAGCCAAGGGCTGCAACCAACAAGGCCATAGGGGTGGGGCCGCCTAACCTCTCTGGAACTCTAATCTCACCACCATGGGACTTGGATCACAGACAGCGAGTTATGGGATTCAGTGTGTGCCTGCTGGCTTTTTGTTTTGCTTTGACCTCATTCTTTTCTATCTCTACTCCCTCCTGCTGAGATGGGAATGTTTACCCTGTGCCATTCAATTTGCCACAGATGAAGTAGCTTGCATTTTCCATTTTGCAGAGGTTCACAGCTAAGAGTTTGCCTCAAGTCTCAGAGGAGATTTTGATTGGGACTTTTGACAAATTCTGAAACTGTGGAAACCCTGAGGGAACAGATGATTGGTTGTATGTGAAATAGTAAAATCAAGTCAGTTGAAAGTTTAACTCTGTATTTATTTGGAGGTGAAATATACTTTAAGGAGATGGATTGGGGCATCAGTTGAAAAGGGGTGGGATGTGACAGTTAAGCTGTCTTGTCAAATTGATTGTCTTGCTAGCCACATAGGAGACCAATAAGGCACACTTCCGGGTGTCCATGGGTGGGTCATGGGGCGGATACTGTATCTGACCCCTGGGCCCTTCTCTCTGGTGCTCTTTTCCTCCTCCACTGTGAAGTTTTTGCTTGGGAGCCAATGATCCACTGAACCCTCTGACACCTTGAGCGAAAATAAACTTAGCATCTTGTAAGTTGAGGGTAAGGTAATTTGTTGTAGCAACAGGAAGGCTGATAATACAAGCGTAGGTCTTAAGTTCACAGAAACAAGTAAAACAGTAATAGCCAGGGGCTGGGGGCAGAAAGCTTAGGGATCTACTGTCTAATTGTGTTTTGAACAGGAGTCCCCAACTCCTGGGACCACAGATCATATCCTGCTAGGAACCAGGACACAAACCAGCAAGTGTGTGGCAGTCAAGCAAGTGAAGCTTCATCTCCCCGGCCCTCACATTATCACTTGAGCTCGACATCCTATCAGATCAGCTGTGGCATTGAGTCTCAGCGTGCAAACCCTCCTGTGAACCATGTGTGTAAGGGATCCACTGGGTTGCGCTCTTATTGGTTACCTGATGATCAGAAGTGGAGCTGAGGTGATGAGGATAGCGTTGAGTAGTGGCTGCAAATACAGACAAACAGCAGAGAGGCTTGGCTGCACACAGACCATCAAACAATTGCTTGGAGATTCCTCAAAAACCTATCAGTGAGTGGTAAGCAGCAATGAAGCTGCCTATGGGTACACACTTTAGAGTGGCAAGTCAGTTGATGTACTTCAATGTACAGCTGCACTGGGTGGTGAGCTTTAGGTGAGACTCCAACAATTATCGTGCTCCACACGTGGCCTGCCAATATTTTATTTATTACGTCCATCTGCACCTTTTGTTTCATATTGTATACAAGGCTCAGTCACATTTCTGGCAAATGTGTAAGCTCACCCTAGCCACACTGAGTAAAAAACAAATGTCACTGCTGAACTGCCTTGAAAAGGGAAAGACCCAAAGAAAGTGTACAGAAGACTCTAAGAATGCCAAGAGAAAGAAAGCTGCATTGAAAAGAAAATACCAAGAGCCCCAATTAAACTACTGGGTTACTGCAGCAGGTGATTCATCCTCCAGCCCGCTTTGTACAATATGTGGACACTGGCTAGCGAATGAAGCCATGAAATCTTCAAAACTGCTTCAGCACACATAGACCAAGTCTCTGCATTAAAAAACTCATGCCTCGGTTTATCAAAAGAGAAAAAAAAGTAAATACAAAGAAGTATAGAAGGCCATGACTTCATCAAATGTATCTGCACTGAGAGCATCAGTTTTACTGGCTAACTGCATCAGTAATGCCAAGAAGTCCTTTACTATTGGTGAAGAGTTGATCCTGCCTGCTGCTAAGAAGATGTGTCACGAACTTTGGGAGCAGCTGCACTTCAAACTTTGACACATGTTCCTCTTTCGACTAGCACCATAAATAGATGAACTGAAGAAACAGCAGAGCAATATTGAGGCACAATTGTTATTGATGGTGCAAAACCCAGGTTGACAAGTGTACAGATGCTGACAAAAAGGCAACGATGTTTGTTTTTCATAGTACAGCTTTCAGGGGGTGGGTAAGAGGATATGGTATGTGCATTTTTGTGGCCAACCTGTATTAGAGCTGGAGAATCTTGCAAGTCGTTTTTTCTTTTTGTTTTTTTTGGTACCAGGAATCGAACTCAGGACCTTGTGCTTGCGAGGCAGGCAGGGGAACCACTGAGCTAAATCATCCCTGGACCCTTACTTTTTTTTTTTTTGATACAGGGTCTCACTACATAGCTCCGGCTGGCCTTGAACTCACTCTGTAGCCCAGGCTGGCCTCAAACCTGCGCCAACCCTTCTGCCTCAGCCTCCTGATTGCTGGGATGACAGAACTGCACCACTACACCTGGCCTGCAAGTCCTTGAAGGATGACATATCACAAAAAATGAACTGGTCATTTTGGGTCAGTATATGCATGGATGGAGCAGCTGCCAAGACTGCACAGTTTTCTGCTTTTACTGCGTGAGTCAAAGAGGCTGCTTCTGAATGTGAGGCTAGGTACTGTGCCACCCACAGAGAAATGCTGGTTAGCTGAGAAATGTCACCTACCTTAACAGGATGTGACTACAACTACCAACCACACTAAAGCACAGGTCCCTAATTCACATCTGTTTATGCAGCTCTGTGAGATGGACATAGTGCACACATTTTCTCTGATACACAGAAGTGAGATGGTTATCTAAAGGCGGGTCACTGGTCAGAGGTTTGGACTTAAGAGAACCATTCCAGAGATTACCTTCAGAAAACGACAGCTGACTCTGGAAGCACATTTCAGTGACAAAGAATAGGTCACAAAACTTTGTTAACTTGTGCGACACAGTCATAGTCAACCCGTTCTACAAACTCAATCTGTCACTGCAGGGGAGAATGACAACCGTGGTCAGGTCAGCAGATAAAGCGGCTCCATGCAAAGCCAAATTGGAATTATGGGGATGAAGAATGAACATTGGGATTTTAACACGTTTCACACACTAGCAGAGAATTTGACAGAGACTGAGCCAGGGCCTTCTTTCTCCTAGCTGGTGCATGGCTGTCTATCCAGCTTTCAAACCACAAAAGACCTCTGTGCCGGGAAGATATGGCTTTGTGGCCCATCTGTGAATAAGCAAGGTGAATTCACCTTGCCCATGGCAGACGAGTATCAATGTGTGAGATCACAAATAACAGTTGCCTTAAAAGTACATCTGAGACAATCTCAAATCTCCAAAGTTCTGGATTAAAGTCAAGGCCAAATATCCTGAGACTGCCAGACAGCACTGAAAAGCCTGCTTCCATTTCCAACATCCTATCTGAAGGAAGCAGGGATTTCTCAAATGATGGCAACCAATCTGAGATTACCGAGTAAACTGGACCAACACACTTCTGGCCTGTTTCCCATCAGATTGGACCATCTAGTGGGAGGCAAACAAACTCAGAGCTCCCCGTGATTCTACATCATGGTGTGTTCCATACTTGTCTCATGGTGTATTACAAAGTAATAATAATAGAAATGAAGTGTACAAGAAGTGTAACGGACTTAAATCATCTTGAAACCACCCCCATACTCCTCGTCCATTGAAAAGTTATTCTCCACGAAAACAGTCCCTGGTGTCAAAAAGGTTGGAGACCACTCAAAGTTTCCAGTTGATCAGATGAGAAGAGATGGTGGTGGATGCTGGTGATGGAGGCCCCTTACTAATGTAATGGGTACCACCTGACAGTATGCCTAAGTGTGGTTATGGTGAGCCTGTGGGTAGAGCTTAGTTGCAGACTGCCTGCTGCACGTGCACAGTTCCTTGCATTCAGTACAGACCACTGAAAACAGCAAGACGGAGGAAAGGGAAGAAAGGAACAGATGCTCATGAAAATGTGATCACTGTGCTATAGAGCCAAGGGAAATGACTTGTGTAGTAGTCACCACAGCTGGCGAGGGAAGTTTGATCCTGATGTGCGAAACAAAAACAGTTGGGGCTGGGGATTTAGCTCAGTGGCACTGTGCCTGCCTCGCGAGTGCAAGGTCCTGAGTTCATTCCCCTGTATGAAAAATAAATAAATCATAAAAATTAAAAGGCCTAACATCTGACAGTTTAGTGGTAGATTTTCCCTAAGTCCTTGGAGTGCCTGTCACGACAAGTATATTTAAGGGTCAGGGATGGAATCCTGGGCAAGACCACGTAGTATATGCCAGTGATGTGATCTAGGTGGCGCTTGGGCTGTCTGTCTCACCCGGGACCAGGGACACTGAGTCACTGCTGACAGCCATGGGGGCCCTGTATGCCCACAGAACTGAACTCCATGAAAATCCCTCGATTCTCAGTGGAAGCTGAGCAAGCTCTCCACATGTGTCTCATCTGGTTGCTGGGACAACTGACCATCATCTGGACTCTCTTTAGACAGGTCAACTGAACACTCGTGTCTGTCTTCCAGGACTCTCCCCCACATGCCTTTACTGCAGCTGGCTGTCATCTGCAGTAAGTCACAACACTGAGTGTGACAGCTTTTCTAGTTCTGTGAGGCCTTGTAGCAATTCACTGAACGTAGGTGGGGTTGGGGATCACCAGTACCATCTGTTATCCTCCCAGACACTCTACTGATGCTCAAAGAAACCCATTCCTACTCACCCCCACCGGAGACCCATGGAGCCTGGGCTGCTACCTGGGGTTTACTACCGACCCAGGGCCAGTGCTCGGTCCCATGGGTGACGTGGGGCAAGCTGTCACCTGCCGATCATCATCATAGCCATTTGCCTTGTAGACATGTGCTGTCCTGTTTGGAAGGCTGAGTCAGAGGGTCAGGACTGGCTTCAGACAGGTGGCTGAGGATTTCAAATAGACAGGGCTAATCATCAAGCGGTGGACACAAGCCTAGTTTATTGTGCATGTAGGTTTCCAGCAGGGGCCAGGTTGGGTGCTTGGTGCAGATGAAGAGATCTGGGAGTGGATGCTGGTGACGGATGCCCCTTATCAATGTACACCCCCCTGACTTCCCGTGACACTCAAGTACAAGGCTTCCTCATCCCCAAGGTAGGCCTGGGGCCCTCCTTCCCCAGCATGGCTGCTACTTAAGGAGCTCAGGGAGCACCCAGGCCATCTGAACCTGGATTAGTGCTACAAGGTCCTGCCTGGTTGTGTGGGATGTCCCTTTAGCGGGACACAGCACAGAGTTGGTACGGGCGTGGGGTCAACAGAATTCCAAAGACACCACAGTCGCTGGGCTGTGCCTGTCCCTCGGGCACCGAGAAGCTGAAGTGCTGCAGTAGGCTGGTGAAGAAGAGGAAGAGCTCCATGCGGGCCAAGGGCTCCCCGAGGCAGGCGCGATGCCCTGTGAAACGGGACTCAGTTAGCCTGGGCTTCTCCTTTCCAGGTTACCCTGAAAAGGGAGCCAAAAGTCAAGGACCCCAAAGCACCTGCTGAGAATGGAATGAAGCCCTCGTGCTTCATGAAGTTGCCCTGGGCGTCCAGGAAGTGTCCAGGGTGGAAGCAGTAGGGCTTCTCCCAGATGGCCTCATCATTCAGCACAGAAGACAGGTTGGTGATGAGCGTGGTCCCCTGTGGAAAGGTGTCCGGCATGAAAGTGGACCAGGTCAGGAACACCAGGGCCCTCCAGTAATCACAACTGGACCCCTGCCACAAGCCCTCAGCCCAGAGGCATCTCGGCACCCTCTGTTACAATGGCAAGGCCACATCACGAAACTCCTATGGGTGCCTCACTGCCACCTGCTCCGGCCTACAGGGGATCTGCCAATACTCTCTGGCTTATTTTGGCTTATCGCTGCACCCTGGTAGTGGCCATGCTGGGGCAGCAGGGCCCAGGCCTACCTTGGGGATGAGGAAGCCCTGCACCTCAATGTCTCGGATCGTCATGTGGGGTGTACCCAACGGGCCGATGTGCCGAAAGCGCTGCACCTCGTGAATCACGGCGTTGGTGAAGGGCAGGCGGGCCTGGTCCCCCATCTCTGGGCGCCGCCCCTGCCCGATCACTTCATCGATCTCCTGGTGGACTCGGCCTGGACAGACAAGCATCGCCACAGGACATCAGACCCGGGGCACTAACCTTCTCTTCCTAACCGAGTTTCGGGCTGCCACCAGGTGGGGACAGCATCACTCCGTCAGGAGTTTGGGTCATGTCAGTGCTTGGAACCCCAGGCGTCATAACTGCTGGGGACCCTCCCTCTACCTTGCCTTTCTCAACCTCCCACACTGCACCCAGCAAGGCTCACGCTGCACATCCGGGTGCAGGACCATGAGGAGCAGGGCCCAGGACAGTGTGCGGGACGTTGTCACCGTCCCCGCAGCAAACAGGTCAGATGCCACACAGCACAGGTTCTCATCGTTGAAGCTGCTCGCAGGGTTCCCCTTGGCCTGGGCCAGCAGAGAGGTGAGGTCAGGGTATCGGAGGAGGAAGCCCCCAGATGGCCTCCTAATCTGCACTCCTTCATCCTGGTCCTCTTTGCTGGGAGACTTCCGGTTCCTTGCCTGACCTCACCCCTCACAGCGTCTCCAGACCGCAGCCCCGTGTTTCATTTCTGGCAGTTGCCCCTCACCTTCTCTATCTCGGCCAGGAAGGCATCCGTCAGGTCTCGGGGTGGCTGTGCCGGATCCCAGGTCGTCCTGTGCTCGGTTATCAGTGTACCCAGGAGGACACTCAATGCCATGTGTCCAGAAAAAATCTTCTCAACTAACCCCGGGATGTACAGCAGCCAAGGGAACACGTTCAGGACCTGTGATGGGCACAGAGGGGCGGTAGTCTTTCCTCCACATAGCTCCCACATGGATCCGACCCCGTCCCACCCTTGTCCTAGACCCTGGCCTGCCTGTGCCCGATGGTGACCTGTTTCCTCTCCAGTGCCTCCTCCACGCTCTCTCCTGGCCGTGCCTACCAGAAGCAACATGCTACCCTGGACATCTCGGGAGTGTCAGTGGCTCCCAACGCAGACAGGAGGTGCAGACTCTGCCCCTCTACAGCGCAGACCCCGGGCCACCTCTCCCACGGTTGTCTGACATTTGCCACCTCCAGTCTTTCCTGCTGCAGTGCCTCTCCAGAATGCCCTTGGGCCTATCTCCCCTGAAAGGAAATTATCTTCCTCAGAGGCCTCGCTGTACAAAGGAGGAACCGTCCAGACTCCCTGGAGTCGTGCACCTGAGTCACCAAGCCAGACTCCTCTTCCAGAAGTGCCTCCAGCAGGTCCAGGGTCCTGACCAAGAGCGGGTCATCATACTCGAAGCGGCGCCCATAGACGAGGGAGGAGATCACGTTGCACACTGCTTTGTTCAGCAGAGTGTTGGGGCTAAAAGCATGGCCTGGGAGAAGGGATGCAGTTTGGCGTTGACCTTCTCCCTGGCTTTTGTCTATCTCGGCTCTTCCCGGTACCCCTCAGCCCACCCCTCACTGTCCTGCCATCACCCACCGTCCTGTTTGGCAAAGGCGGCACAGAGGCAGGCGGCCTCCTCAGTCACCCACTGCTCCAGCGATTTCTTGCCCAGGCCGAAGTTGCGCAAGGTGGACACGGAGAAGCGGCGCTGCTCACGCCAGGCGGGTCCGTAGTGCGCCAGGGCTATCCCTGCAGAATGAGGCAGGCATGGGAGTTTGACCAAGAGCACCTGGCCACCACCTCTGCGCCACCACTGTTACACTCCTCTGAGTGTAGGCTGTACTCTTATAGACCCACATCTTTGCCCACACTGCTTCTCAATGGGTCACCATCGAGTGCACAGTCCCAAAATTCGGGGCTTATCCTTGAGTCCCTCGATCACATCGCTGCCCCATTAGACCCAGGCCTTCAGTTGTTCACTGCCACCACCCCCAACTACGGCCTGTCTGCCAACCATCCTTTGCCTTGGGTGTGTGGTCTAAAGCCTAAGCGTTCATGGGTGGGCATCGGGGGCCTGTCTGCGGTGTCCTCGCTGTGTTTCACCAGGGCCTCCCGCACAGCCGCTGGCCCACTGACAACAACCACTGGAGTCCAGGCCAGCTGGAGGCTGAACACGTCCCCGAAGCGGTTCCGCAACTGCAATTAGAAGATCACGACACTCCTTAAGTCAACGTCCCAGCCAACCTGAAGGACTCAACTCAGCCTGGAAGCCTTGGAAGGCCCTGGATGAACAGAGCACTATGGAGCTCTGACTTCCTTCTTTCCTTCTTTGCGGGCCAGGGATTTGAGCCCAGGCTCCCACGCTCACTAGGGAAGTCTGAGATACAGCGTGTTGAAGCTGGAGAGGACACTTCTTCTAAGGCTGGGGAACACTGGGGAGCTGGTCCCCCAGCCATGACCTTGCCTGAGGGTGGACCTGTCAGGATCTACTAGCACCATGTCCTACACGAGAGGAAACCCAGGTTCACAGATGTGAGCAGTGAGCCAACTCCACAGAGCAACAGATGATGTAAAGGGCATCACTGCCCCTCTCCAAGCCTCAATTTCCTGACCGATGCCGGGGTCGTGACCCTGCTCCCCCATTCCCAGGACTTTTCTCCCTGATGTCGTCAGAAGGGACTCGGGGCCTACACATGACTTCTGCGCTACCCAACTGGATCCAGAATACACTCGCAAGTGCCACCCCAGCTGCTGGCCTTTGCCCTCCCACACTTTTTCCCTGCAAAGGCCCAGGTGTCCCCAGGCCCTGCAGTGCCCTCCCCTAGGCCTCTCCACCTGCTTTCTACTGGCCCAGGTCCCTATCTAGCCTGTAGCTTCAGCGACCATGGTTCTGCTGCTGCGGCATCACCCTCACCTCCGTGACCCTCCACCACCACCTCCCTCACCTTGTAGAAGGAGTATGGCAGGTCCTGGAAGTCCAGCTGCAGCAGGTTGCCCAGCCCGGGCACTGGCATGGGGCCTGGCGGGTAGCGAGCAGCCCAGCGTTGGCGCCGGTGCATCAGGTCCACCAGGAGCAGGAAGACGGCTACAGCCACAGCCACAGGCAACAGTGCATCCCCGCTCAGCAGCCCCATGGAGACCACGGGACTCCTCTGCACACCCTGAAAGTCCTGATCACTGCAGACACCTAGGACCAGGAAGCACACTCTGGCACAACCAGTGTGTTTGTGCAAGTCAGCTGTCCTTTTATAAAGCAGCTTAGGCTGCTCTTTGCCCTGTGACTGTCCAGCCAGTGCATGTAGGGAAGGGCTAAGAGAGGGACACAACCAGCTACAGAAATCTGTGCTCTTCTGGTCCTCTGCATGTGATCCCCAGCAGAGGGGACCAGAGACCTGGCAAGAGAGCTGCACACGAGATGAACACACTTGTTGTACTGAGCTGGGCCTGGGCCATGGTGGGAAGATGACGTGTGCATCCCCGCCCCAAGGGGCATGTTCTGGAGGACACACAGAAAAGGCCTGAGAGCTGACATGGCAGGGCAGCAGTCCTAGCTGGAGTAGCCTTTCTCGGAGGCTTCACGCAGTCTCTGGTGGTGAACTAAGCAAATGGTCTCCACTGTAGGCCACAGCAGCCTGGCTGTGGGGCAGAGGCACCCCTGGACCATCCTGTGTGCAGGACAGCCAGAGGCAGGCAGCTGCAGTGTGGGGATCAAGTCTGAGGTCACTCAACTGACCTGCAGGACAAGATCCACTGAAGCCCCGGGTAATTCTCAGATGTAGCCCAAGCTGATTGGCCTTGTTCACTCGGCAGCACCTTTCTACCTGAGACCTTCAGAGAATCACAGCATGGTTGATGGGAGGTTGGTCTCTGTAATTCAGGCAGCATCCTTGTGCCAGGAGCTTTTGTTCAGAATGGGCAGCCACAAAGCAAACTTATAGTAATGAGGCCTGGGTTCCAATGCTTAGCACTGAGGTGCCGGGCACCGTTGGTCACATTTCTCAGGCTCTAACTCTAATTCCCTCTGTGGCCATTAGAAGCAGGTGGTTGTAATTTCCAAGGCAGAGATGTTATGAGGTCATAGTCACAGCAGGGTTGGTGTCCTCATCCAAAACACATGCGAAGCTACAGTGCTATGCTGCTTGGGCATCACATTGTATTTATGGCCTGTATAGAAGTTTTCTGGGTTTTTTATTTTAGAGAAATTCACTCACCCTGCCCTCTTCCAACCCTGAGATCACAGTGTCATCAGGTAAAATGCACTGTGTACAGGTAGAGTCTCTGCCGTGAGATATAGCACTTCAATATGGCAGCAAGGAGCAGGTTGGTTGGTTCTGTTCCTCTTCCCTGAGAGGCCTGTATAACCGAATACCACTGTAACCATTCCAGAAACCAGGGACCTGAAGCAGCTGGTAGTCAGGAAGGGCAGGAAGGTTTGAGCATTTTGATCCAGCCCTTGTCCTGCTCGCAGCTGGGCACTGCTGTACCACTGAAAGGAAACAGCTAAATCCCAGGTCTGCCCTGGGACAGAAAGGAGTGGGGACCTGTGTGTAACCTTGTAACTTACCTGGAGTTAGTATGGCTCTGCAGTTCTGCAGGCCAGCACTGGGCGGAGCAAGAGGACATAGGCAGTGGAATACTCCGCAGAAAAAGACAAGCGCTAGAGTTGGCAGGGGACCAGCCTCCGGGGAGCTGCTGAATGAATGGGCAGTTTCAGTTTTGCAGGATGAAAAAGTTCTGGAGATCAGGTGCACAACATTATCGATACACTCCATACCAATAAAGTATTTACTTAAACATCAAAGTAAGATGAGAAATTGCATGGTTTTTACAATTTATTAATCAATCATTCATTGTTTATTGGTTTTTGAGACAGGATCTTGCTTTGTAGAGCTGGCTGGCCTTGAACTCACAGAAATCCTCCTGCCTCAGTCTCCTGAGTGCTGGAATTACAGGTGTGCGCCACCACACCCAGCTCTTTACCACAATTTTAAAACTAAAAATTATTTTAAGCCACTACACATCTTTTAGAATGGAGATCAAGAACAGTGACATCACAAAATCCTGGTGAGGATGTGGAGCACCAGGATCTCTTACTCATTGCTGGTGGGGATGCAAATGGTACTCCTACTTCAGAAGGCAGTTTGTTACAAAATTAAACAGAAAACAGCAATTATGCTCCTTGGTATTTACCTGAAGACTTACGTCCGTATCAAAACCTGTATAGCAACTGGTAATTGCCAAATTTGGAGTCAACCAAGATGCCCTTCAGCAGGTGGAAGGACAGACTGTAGGGCACCCAGACAGAGTATTATTTGTCAGTAGAAAGAAATGAGCTATCAAGTCAGCATAATCACACATTACTCTAAACCAAGGAACCATCATTGCATATGGCTAAATAAACCAATCTAAAAAGGCTGCATATTGTATGATTCCAACTACACAACATTCTGGAAAAGGCCAGCCTACAAAGACAATTACAAGATCAGGGGTCACCAGGGAGCAGGCAGAGGAAGAGATGAACAGGTGGAAAGAGATGTTTTAGGGCCGGCTACATACACTGTATGACTCTAATGGTAGATATATGTGCTTATAAATTTGTCCAAACCCACAAAATATACGCCACCAAGAACGTATCCTAACAAAGACTGCAGACCTGTGGGGCAATTAGGAGGCGCCACATCTGTTCCTTGGTCCTAACAAATGTACCGCTAGGGAGGACACTGATAGCAGGGAAGGCAGTGCATGTGGGGGAACAGGGTAGGCAGGATCTCCTTGTATCTTCTACTCAGTACTGCTGCGAACCTAAGGCTGCTCTAAAAAAGAAAATGTGTTACAACAAACACACACACACACACAAACACACACTGACCTCCAAAAGCTCTGGGAGATGCTGCAGAAGCCAGAAACCTGGAGTCAGGAGGCGAATACCACAAGACAGGGCCGCGATCACACATCCTCAGCAAATCAAAAGGGACAAAAGAATAAAAGGCAAAGTGACAAAGAAGTATTTGCTGTCAGGAAAATAGTTTCCTCCAGATACACATTTTTCAAGTTTTGTGGTTTAGCCCTTGACACCTGAAATCTATCAATTTCATTTTAACTGTGTTAATGCCACGTCAAGACCAGAATGGGAAGCCAACGAGCTCGAAAACCATCATTTCTATGCAGGTCCTGTTCAGCTGCCTATGCACGGTCCCGCAGCTAACATGGCACACCCACTCATGCCTCCATCCTGGCAGAGTGAAATCAGAAATGGACCACACTGCTTGATGGAGCCATTAAAATGAAATTAATCTGCCATTTCTGCAGCCCCAAATTGATAAGCATACAAGCACTCATTTATAATTGCTTATTTCTACCTTACAACATTCCTTCCAATATTTCTGTTCTCTAAAATAGTCCATTAACATTGCATTATTTTTTAATAATCTTTAAAATTAATGTTCATCGGAAATATGTCCTCATATCAGCTTAAGTAACTCTACCATTCTCATGCACAGCTAAGTGCTGCAAGAGATCTCTGGGTTTTGTTTGGTTCCAGGCCCCGCTGCAAGGGCCACCTGGAACTCTGAGAAGCTTGGGCCCAAAGGGACCAGGTTTGAGGGTGGCCTCCTCTGGAGCAGAACCAAAGACACCTTTGGGGGCTGGAATGGGAGAAGGAAGAGACGCATTCATTTTATAGTAAATAAAAAAGGAAACAAGGTTAAAATGAAGTTTATTATTTTTTTGATTTTTTGATTTTTTTGTTTTTAGTTTTTTTTTTTTTTTTTTAAATAAAACTGTTTGTGAAACAGCTATTTTATCCCCATGGCAGAGTGACCCCTGAAAGATGCACTAACCCCTTCTTAAGGCCTTAACAAGATTTTTTTGTATGTTTTTCTTTTTTTAAAACTCAAGATATTTAAAAATTATACAATTACAAAACAAAACAAAACACAACATAAAGAATCACAAACCCTGGGGCTGTTTATCTGAAGCCCCCCTTTTCCATTATAAAAATGAAAGGAAAAAGACGAAGTGTGAAGTGGGTGCTTCTGGTCAGTTTAACCCACCCACACGGTTCACACTGACATCCCTCCCATCACCATCTGTTCCTGTGGCAGAGGGCTGGACCTCCTTCCATTCCATGGGTCCCCATGGGCCAGGGCACTGCTGCCTGGAATGTGCTGAGGACAGAGGTGGGCCCATCCCTTGACTTGGTCTGCTGCTGTAGGACTGTTACCCCACCTGGTGGAACCACAGGGATCTCAGCAGCCAAGTAACCCAGGACACAGCCATGACCTTGGGACATCTGCCAATTTTATCCCCCAAAAGATAAAAATTTTAAAAATAATAAATAAATAGTGTTTCTGGAAAGGAAAAAATTTATTTTTGTGTTTAAACATCACCCTCCTCCATACTCCTGGCAACCTGGCCTGCCCCCAACTCCCGCCCCCAAACCCTTCCCACTCTTGAGACAGGTCACTGACAGAAGGACGGTCTGGGTGTGGCCTGTCTGTCCATTTCATCCACAGTCTAGTGTTCTCTGAATTGGTGTGAGAGGTTGAAGATCAAAGCCACCCCCCAATCCTTTATGAGATGAGTTTGTTCAGTTCAATTTCACATTTAAGTTTCACTGTCACTGGAACAAATTTGGAGTTAACTAGATAATTTTAAAATAGAATCAAAAGGGATAGCGCACCTTTCATTTAAACAAAGTCTTTCCAGACTAAAAATAGATTTATATATATATATTTTTTATCCCTCCCTTTATTCCCCCCTTCCCTATCAACCCACCCTCCCCCTCCCCCCATTGTCACTATGGAGATTGTATCCATGGAAACAGCCATTCCAACATCTTGGGTCTTTCTTTCCTGTGGTGTCACTGGTTTGAGTGATGTGAGAATGTAGGAAGGAAGTGCTGGCTGGGCAGGCACGCGAGGCAGGGCGGGGTGGGATGCGGCTGACGGTAGGACATTTCCATTCCATCACGAGTGTCTACCACTTCTCATCTCCACAGTCTAACCTGGAAGACAAGCAGCAGACACTGAGTGCTGGGACCCTGCACTCAGTCAGTCACCAGAGGCCCTGGTCCACAGTGGCCCTCGGATGGAGCTTTCAGTTGGGGACCTCATGCTCTGAGCCCTCTGCAGATGTTCAGCTAACTCAAGGCACATCAAGACCGATGCTGGCACCACTGTGGGACTC